TATATATATATATATATATACATATTCCGTGAATAACTGTGCAATATGGCTGTTACATATTCAGAACTGTTACAGGCTGTGTATTTTGTAAATTGTGTAATTCTTTAAAAACAATGTTCTATCTTTAATATTTATTTTGTTTTGTATGTATACTTCTTGTTAAACATTAAGCTGCCTGCAATGCTATTGAATGTATATTTCTTCTGATTTTGAAATCTCAATAAAAACTGTCTTTTGCTCTTTTCTGCTGTTACAAATGTACATTTCGAATGCAGTTGGGGTTAGGGTCAACCAATCTGAATGTGGTTGGCTTTTGAAATGAGGTGCAGACGTTCTTTAGCTTTTATGTCACAACTCACAGTATGTACATGATGACACCTGTTGCCCAGCAGTCCACAGGTTGGCCATACCGCTGTCTGCCAACCACTTCTGGAGCTGCATGAGAGTACAGAAACATCTTTTACATCTCTGAAAGCCTCAACAGGCTGCCAGGTCACATTATCCACAAACTGGTATTTGATACTTGGTGTGTTTCCATTCTCACCCAGGTACTCTGGTGTCCCGCAGGGGTCTTTGATGAGTCCGTTCTCCAGCTTGGCAAGATGGAAGTCACTGATGACTATTTTAGAGTGCTTCAGGCGATTGAAGTACACCAAGTTCTCCAACTACCGAAAAAGCAAATTTCAATGTCAATGCTTTATGTAATATTCATGAGTAAGCTCTTTTATTTTCATGGTTTTGATCTAGTGACAATTAGGAGGTGGGAATTCAGTTTTTCGATAATTGTCTGACAAATAATAGACTGAAAAGAAAAGAGTTTAATTATTCAGTGCAGATTAAAATAAATGAAATGGGATGTGTTCAGTTTAAGTTTGGGATTGTATTACGATTGGACTGAAGCTAAATGCCTCAACCAATTGTATTGTATAGCCATTACAAAATGCATGGGTTTGTTTAAACGTACAGTCTCAGAGGGTCATTCAAGAGGTTATGAGGTGGAAATGCTAATTGAACTTTTGCCTTCAATTGTAATCATATTTAAATTGTCTTTAATCAAGCACACTTCCTGTTCTTGTGTGGCTGGTTAGCATTTTGATCACTTTTAAGCATTTTTGGGGTAAAAAGAGATTAAAAGATGAAATTCTTGGAGAACATTCCAGCTGTATTTCTTGGTTTAACAGTAAGATGCCTCCTCAGTGACGGCGTCCTGTAGCGTGTTACCTTGAGGTTTCTGTGGACGATGTGCAGGGAGTGGAGGTAGGCCACGGCCTCCAGCACCTGGCGCACCACGTTGCTGGTGTCTCGCTCTGAGTAGTAGCCTTGGTCCAGGATCCAGTCGAATACCTCTCTGCCCGTTGCACTGTGGGTAGTAGAAGGCAGCGAAGAGATGCGTAACATGTTTGCTGTCATCATTGGAAGATTTGCACACAACTGCAATGCTATTAGATTAAAGCAGATGTTTCTGTTATCCTCCATTCTCTTCAAATGTTTCCATCTGCTCTCTAGCTATTTGGAAAGGGCCCCTTAAAATGCAAATGAGGGAAAAATAAACGCTGGTGATATTTTTTTATCTGATTAGAATGGTTTACTTAAAGGGGACCTATCATGCAAAATGCACTTTTGTACGTCTTTTATACATGAATATGTGTCCCCGGTGTTCCAGGGAACTCACCAAGTGTCAGAAAATACAACCTCTCTCTTTTCCTCCGTACCCAAATCTCTAAAAATGGGGCTGCAACGGATCTGAGACAGATTTGAAAATAGTCTGACCCAACTCTACACCTATCAGGGGAATGAGAGGTTGCCGTGGCATGGTGACAGTATGATACTGTAACAGCATGGTAACATGACGCTTGTAACTCGGCGCCCTCCTTTGCAGGGGGGCGTGGTCAGCTGCAGCACATGCAAAGACAGGGG